CTCTGCTATCTACTCGCTACGTATAGACCTGCGGCGAGTGATTAGATAGTCGGTGGGCGTACCCCGCCAACCGCGCCAAGAGTGAGCCATGCTAGATCGCCCGAGGTCAAATCTTTCGCTGCCAATTGCGCGTCGGTCAGCACCCTCAGGAGGTCCGCCTGTCTCCCAACTATGCAATTTTCCCCTTCTTTGACCTTCGTTCTTATCGTGAATTCCTCCTTTAAGTCCCAATTAAGCTGAGAACTAATATTCTCTCTGTGGGTTAGAAATCACTTAATCACTGGTGCGACTTTGGAAAACTCAGTGAATCTTCTCGTCAAACAGGAAACCCTAAAAAACCGCTGATCAATTGTTTTCTGGCAGCTACTGTATGTAGCTCCCGGTGGGTTGGACTGAGAAGGCTGTTCCAGAGAGGAAAATTGTCGGCCGGAAGACCGTCGCTACCCTTCCCTCCTCCGCGAGCAGAACTTCAGATAACAGCAAACATTCTCACTGCTACAGTTTAGTCTAACCCCGTCTCCCTTTCTTTTCCTTTGCCGAATTTTCACTTCGTTGTTTGATCTGGTCTACTCGTCCTCAGCGCGATAGTGCAGTCAGAGGCACTGACGAACTGGCCTAAATGTGCCACCGATAGCTGCTTCAAGCTGAAACATAGCCTCGCTTGTGTGATGGTGGTATTCTCGATAAGCGCGGGTGTTGCCCAGATACGGTTGTTACTCGTAGCTCAGATTCTTGTGGCAGAAGAGAGGTAAAAGGATGTCTGGTTTCCTACACTTTCGGCGAAAGCTGTCTAGCTCTCTCATCTGGACGGCTGAATTCTAGACGAACAAATTCGACGGCAGTAACACTATTGTGAGCGAATGGAGGGGTGGGAAGCGAGTAGAACAGGTTGATGTAAATTTTATGGTAGAACCTGCACTCGGAGATGAGCCATTAATTGCAAAGGTGTGTGCAATATAATGGTTGAAAAAGTGGCTAAACGCTCATGCAATTGCAGGAGGCTATTTCCCACGACGATTACGGTACCAATTAAGTTATCTGTGAATGTTGGGGTGGCTTGGGCAAATTCAATCAAGGTCCTTGGGCCCTCAGTGTTTGAAAGTTATGACATGCCTAGGCGGCCAATTCAGGATTTGGTGCGCGGACCAGTGTTGGCTACGCTGCTTACCTCCATACCACTTCCACCCCGGTTCATGGTAAAGGTCTGAGTAGTCCTGTAACGACTGCAACCGCGGTCCCACTCCAAATTTGTGGCATAATCTGACCATAAACGTCTAGTGGATAGCCGTTCTTTGTGTTCTTTCCTTTCATGCATACGCTATCCAGGAGCACTGAATAATTCAATTATTGCATCCCGCAAAGGGCACACTTCTGTTTGCGTGAATTGTATAATCGAATATTGCTCCTTTTGAATCAGCCAGGGAAACTGCGTTTTGACTACTATAAATAGACGCTCTTTTTTAGCTCTTTAGTTGCGATTCAAAATGTCTTCGCGATGGTGGAAAGCGGCAAAAAGAGATCAGAGTGGTGGTCGGTTATTGGAGATGCAAAAGATTAATACGAGGCTTCCGAAATCGAAGCAGCATTTGCATGTTATGCTGCGAGGTCGCGTCTGAATGAGGCGTTGAACCCTAAAATTCATTTAGGGATTTTCTTCCTGAATATTCACAGGTGAAGGAGTAAGTCGAAGAGAGACTAAACTCGTGCCCAACCTGCGACTTCTTCTTCTCCCCCTAGCGGCAGTCGCAGGGTCCGCTGTCTTTATCAGCCGTCGCCACTTGCTCTGTCTAGGGCATCTTCTGCTGTGGCCGTGATTTCACTTAGGTCCTTCTTGATTACGTCCTTCCACCTCTTCTTTGGGGCACCTCGCGGTCGCTTGCCTTGCGCTTCGAAGTCCATTGCTTTCCTTATTGGGTGGTCCTGTGGCCTCCTTAGCACGTGCCCATACCATCGCAGACGCTGTTCCCGTACCTTCAGCTGGACAGGGGCAGTCTGCATGACCGCTCTGACATCCTCGTTCCTGACCCTGTCCAGTCGCGTCCACGGTGCCAAACTCGACTGTGAGGGCAAAATCACTAACTTGTACATACTACTACTTGTACCCCGCAAGTCATTGTATAGGCTATACTGCACAGAATGGTGCTTACGATCTGACCGGAAACAGCATGCGTAAGCGCTTGCGAGAGAGAGAAATATGCAATCAAAACCCCAATGCTTTATTTTTGTTTCGTTGTTATTGTACATATGATAATTTGCTATAATCACTAAAAAGCGAAAATATTTCAGTCGACTGCGCTGAGCAATTGTTCGATGACGTGCCAGCTGGCAGCGAACCTCCAGAAGCACATGATCTTCGAGTTGAGGCGTTTGCAAAGGCGATGGCCCGACAAGAACGTCATCAGCTACACGTCGATATCTCGTGGCAAATGCCACCAAGAAGTTAGCTTTCTTAAAGCTGCCCTTTCTCTAGCCTTCATTCGAAATATTCATCCTCATTGAGTTACACTCTCTTAATGAAAGTTATACAGAAAGAGGCTCAAATTTCTATGGAATCGCTTGGTAAGGCCCTGGTGCTCCAATGCTCGTGAGGCCATAAAGAGTCTGCACGTACTGTTTTTCGTACGAGTTCTTCATCGTATCAACAACGCAGCCATTTCTTCTGTTTCCGAATCCGTTATCGGAAGAGGACCTGGCAGAGAAGGGCTCGGAAATCAAGGTCATATCGTTCCGTTCTCGTCACTTATTCTGAACTGAGGGCATCTTGTGATTTTGTAAAGGATGGCAGGGGGTCGCATATGAGGTAGGGAAATGTCAACCGCCTTAGGGGTGGAAAAGGGTTGCTTCTGACGATTCGTGGCGAATGTTTCACGAAAGTAGCGTGAATTACGGTGGGCAGAGTTGGTCGTTTCGACTGGTCTCAGAATAATTATTATGGCAACAACCATGATGGTGATGGTAACGGTCGGTAACGGGATGAGGGAAGAATTAGTATTGAAGGTGCTTCCAAGCTTAAGGTTAACCCTTTCCGGACCGCGCACTTTTTGCGCTCACGGCCGCATGCTGCGCGGCAAGCATAAATATCATATATTTAATCTGTATTCCCACTAAAGCCATTATTTTGTCTCGTTTATGTCTTTGTCATGTCTCGAAGAATATATAAGATTAATTTGACAGAAAACTGTTTTGCAAAAAAAGGGAAAGGGCCATAAAAAGGGAGGAAGGGACGAAAATTGTTCAAAATAAGTTGGTATGGAGAAAAAGGGAGTAGAACGTGCCCAAAACGATTGGATCCATAAGAATCAGATACGACGAGCAGGATATTTCACAAATTCTTCGTTTTTAAGTGTTTTCAAGCGAACTACAACTGTTTTCTTTGAGCCCAAAGTGGAAGTCCATTTACTCTTTGGTTATTTTAGAACCTAGATTAAACCTAAAGTCTAGGTTTTTTCATACATATGGCATGAGTCTGTTACATAGGTATGTAACAACATAAAATATTTTATCGAAAAACCAAACTCTTGGAAAAATCAGCTCTTGAAGTTCCTGACACACCATGTGTGTCAGGCGGTCCGGAAAGGGTTAAGATTATAAGCCTAAGCTGGGAGCCCTCCCCTTAGGGGAGAGGGTCACAAAATTTGGAAAGTCCCTAACGCGACGGTTGTCTCTCGTGGTAGATCCTTCGAGGCACGAGGGTGGGGCTCACTTCGCTTTGAGTTGCAACTCACGCTCCTTCATTGACTCCCACCACTTCAAAACGCGTCGCGTACCCAAACTTTTTTTTAGTCTTCCAGATACCAGACCAAATTCGAGATAAATCTTTTCCTGAAGTTCCAATTGAGGAAAAATATAAAAGTGTGGATAAATTTTGTGATTTGCATTCAGGAAACTCATCTCGCCTACGTGCTTTCAAGCTAGAAATTAATGGTACCGACACGTGCTTTGTATTCAATGTTACCGATTCCGGCGTTACAGAAGATTCAGTCTCGGTCAGTGGATTTTTCTTTATTTTTACTCTTTATTTTTATATACATAGAGCTCCCTCGAAATCACCAAGAAAAGCGACTTCAATCTTAGCAGTACAGTTGCAAAAAATCTAGCTTCAGGGTTCTAGATTGCTATACACTTTTTTGTTTTGGCTTTTCTAATACAGTTCAGAATAAAAAGATGAAATTTTCATTTTTTGTGTTTTATTTCTTTTTCCTTTTCTTCTCACATCGCTTGACCCGCTTGTTATTAGTATTCATTTCAAAAGATTCTTCACAGTGTACCAGGTTTACATTTCTATACTTATAAATACAAATTTGAGTTCTGTTTAATTTCTTCTACTTTACTACTTCTCAAGGTTTCTTCAGCATTCTATGAGAAGGGGCTTGCTACATTTGATAGAAACGTTCTCCTTTTAAGTATTCCCCTCATTCATTCCCATATTTAGCACGCTTTTAGGACATTCTAATCCCACTCACTTTATCTAAAAATTCAACGGATGTAAGAAATGGCTCTTTTTTGCTGCGCTGGCCCAAAAACAATAGGCAAAATTGGAACAGCTGCCGTGCTTCCTCCCCAGCCCCTCAGTCGTTTTGTAGGAAAAAAATTGGGCGGTTGACTGGTCTCAGAATCAAATTGTGTAGGAACAGCCATAGAGCTGTGGGCGTGGTGATACAATAGACTAGATGTGAAATAATAATAATAATAATAATAATTGTAGGGGTTCGCGCTTTTCTTCCCAATTAAACTACACCAGCACCCGAACTGCGATCATCCCATAATGGGGGAACGGCACAGAGTGGGACGATCAATGAAGGCCGAATCGAACACCCGAATTATTACAATGTAATTCCTATCGATGTCCTAGAATATTATCTCACCTAGTCCTATTTTACCGAGTAATTCGCGAAGATTCAATTATTAGTGATAACAATAATAATTATTTTTATCAGCGCTCAAGGCTTGAAACTTCGTCTCGTAAAACTGTGGAGAGATCCATCTGTGTAAGAACGCAAAGAAAGTTTAAAACAACGAGCCTCGAATCCTATGATTTCAATAATAATATAATAATAATAATAATAATAATAATAATAATAATAATAATAATAATAATAATAATAATAATAATAATAATAATAATAATAATAATAATAATAATAATAATAATAATAATAATAATAATAATAATAATAATAATAATAATAATAATAATAATAATAATAATAATAATAATAATAATATTCAAAATACTTGTTCATCGATTAATTTCAGCCGCGTTTTCATTTCACTTCTGAGAGTTTGTTCGAGTTCTCCAAGAGCTACCGTATTACACTCTACAGTTTGCCAAAGTCCAAGAATCGGACGTCGGCAGTGGAAGGAGTCGCGAATGCCAATCGACCCCGGTGAGAATGTATTACTTTTTACGATTTCGAGGACATACTTTCCAAGGATCTGAATTTGAAAGCTTGATCTAACGTCTTTACTTTGTAACCTATTCATAGTCTTTCTTTTGAGAATCAGGGCTTCATTGAAGGCGCACCTCATAGTCGAGTTGGTGGTTATTCCTCTAGAATATCAAAGGCATGCCCCAGGATCACACTGGTGTGGCTCTTGCACACGAATGCGAATGTATGGTGCGAAGTGGGCCGGCAGTGAAGAAAAAAGGAAAAGAATCCGTCGAAAACGCTTAGGTTAGGGCTCACTCACCTTCCTAATCGGCTGTGCTAAGGGAATGAGAAACTATGAAAGGAATCGACGGTTCGGTTTCCTTAGTACTTGGTTGCCAGCTATTCTGAATAGCTTATACTTGTTCACACTGCCACGCGGGACTTTTTCCACTGCTCCTAACACTGTACTGATGCACAGCTTTATGACAAATCAATAATGACCGACCTACACCTACAATCTCCACTTGTGAGGCGAAGGAGCACTTGTGGTTTCCTCTTTCTAGGCGAACTTGTGAGCACTTGTGGTTGAAGCAGAAACTGCCAGGCTCCTTCTCCTCACCTCCTTTTATACTGTATGGCGAGCATATCTTTTAAGAATCTAACAACATAATCGGCACCCACGAGCTAGAATTTCCACAACATCTCAAAAAGTTACATGAAACGATGAGTCATAAGAAAAATGTAATGCACATCATATTTTTAAATCAATCAAAAACAACAACTTCAATCATCAAAATATATCACTTGAAGTATCGTCGACTTGTCGACAGACTATGCGTGCAGAGGAGAGTATGAGGCGAGAGAGCGCTACAGATGAGAGAGCGCCAGACAACAGCCTGATAAGAGAAAAAAATCTGCAGCTTCAGCAGCTTACTTTGCAAGGCCCAAGCGCTCTTGTCGGTTGGTTTCCGTGCACGGAACGCCACATTTGTGATTGTCCTCTAGGGGTCTATACTACAGACCGAAGGGAAGCGTTCACACGACCTCTGCCTGGGTTGTGCCTTCAAAGTAGGGATGCGATCTGGACCGCTAGTCGTGGGAAAGGTTGAAAGAAAGCGTCAAAGCACCGAAAAACTGTTATCGCTTTACGATGTGAAGTTGGGCAGGAGGCAGAACCTTTCAAAAACTACCTGGTAGTTCCATAGCCGC